TAGAAATTTCGTGAAAGGGGTTCTTTGACTTCATAACCTTCAAACAGTGACCGCTCTGGAGCTCTAACCTAAATCCCATGAATGTCTCAATGTGGTCAGCTTCTGAAGGAAAGCATCCTCCAGTCCAAACAAGAGAAGAAATGATCTCGAAAATGCTTAGCAAAAAGCCGGGACCAACTCGATGACCCTAGCTGCGTGCCACCGTCAATGCCGTCCATCGTCGTCTCTGGGGTTGGGCAAAAGCAGAAAGCAACAGATCCCAATGTCAACGTACAGTTTTGATAAGAAATTAGTCATAAACACTTTAATGAAATTGGTTTGCTCTATTGGCTATCTATTCGTTTTCTGCGATGGGATGTCTGTGAAATCATAATTTTGGCCCACCCTGTATAACCCATTGACGACCATGCAGTCCACATATGGACTACAGTTGTATTCGTCTAAATTTCCACTTTCTTTCAATACTTCTTCTCAAAACATTACATCAGGCCTAAAAGAAACTACATACAGCGTGGTCCGAGAAAATCTTCCAGTTTTGCAATTGTAAAGGTGTTTTTTCAAAGGAGTACATTATCTTGGTGTATTTTTCGTTCATTGAACAACTTCAAAAAATGAGATATTTTGAAAAGACGGTCGTTATTAGCATGACCAAATGCAAAGCTCGAAAATTCCCCGAAACAATTTCTGGTAATGATTAACCCATTGGCGACCGCGCCTTTTACATTGTCCTTACATCAACTTTTGATTTCTCTTAAAACTGTAGTTGGAAGTGAATGACCNCCCCCCCCCCCCCCCCCCCTGGACCACGATGCCTCAAGATTCTCTAGAAGGTTGTGTGTTCATCTGATACTTGAAAACATGAAAAAATTATAGGAACACCTTATAAATAATATAAATGCTACAGGAGCACGATATGATGTGGCCCGCCGGCGGGCCACGCGGTCGTCAATGGGTTAAAGACACCCAGAAACTGTTTTTTAAATTCACTTTACTTGGATTATCTTCCTAAGTGCAATTCAATTAGAGAGCCCCTGTCACAATTTGAACAATATGTTATTATATAAAGTGATTTTGTATTGAAATACCAATAGTAGTATGCATCGAAAAAATTATCATTTCATTCATTGAACCTTTCTTTTGAACCATCCCAAACTATGAATTATCAACTCCTTGCTTGCCAATAGTTTATAAACAGTACAGTAATCTTTTCCGTTAAACTATTATCATATGTATAGGTACAGTTGGAACAGCTTATGTAGCAGATAATGGTTTAAATAACTAAACAACGAATAACCAACTCTATTTTGATGAGAAATTTTTCAGACCCGAAGCAATCTGCCTTAATATTCAAGGAAAATCAAGTCCCTGAACCACAGCTGTTTCTTCGGGTTTGTTCTCAAATGACTTTCCAAAATGTATGGAAAAGCTTCGCAGATTCCTGGCTGCTATATCTTCAGTACTCATGGACATCGCCAATGGAACAACATTCTTTTGATTGTACAAATTATAAAATATGAGGAAAACAAAAATCCAATTTCGATTTGATAATGAACTCAAAATAAATCCTTTTATCGTGCGGTTGTATTTTTTTTATTTGGTCACGGTAATAAGGTGAATGCGAACAGATGACGGAGAGTTCGACTGAAGAGACAACGAAAATAAAATATATATGACGCGCTCGTCACCTTTTTCTTTTCGTTTTCACCCTTCCCTCTCCCTCTCCCCTGGCCCCTACTTGGGGTTCTTACCATTGAACCCCAGAACTTGTATTTGTGTATTCGTGATAAAATACTCTACCCTTCACTCTACAGGACTGTCATTGGTTTGGGTAAAAAAAAAAGGGTTTGATGTCAAAACCTAGCGCTTCAAAGAACGATACGCGCTATACCGTAAGGTCCGGTAAAGCAGGAGCATTATGATAAGAAGCAGTCTTATCCCTGTCCCTGTTCACTATGCGCTTCTTTTTAAATGTCGAACTTACAGCGCCGTCTTTGAGGATGCTACCCTTATCATCTTGAGACCTGCTTGGCCCTTCTTCGGATTTCCACACACAAAATTTAATTTATTTATACAGAAGCTCACACTACTGTTCCTAGACTGACTCCTAACTTTCTTTTTTTTTCAAATTGCTGTTTGTTTATGAATCTTGGTATTATTACGCAGATTTAAGTATGCAGTTCNCCTTTTAAATGTCGAACTTACAGCACCGTCTTTGAGGAAGGCTACCCTTATCATCTTGAGACCTGCTTGGCCTTTCTTCGGGTTTCCACACACAAAATTTAATTTATTGATACAGAAGCTCACACTACTATTCCTAGACGGACTCCTAACTTTCTTTTTTTTTCAAATTGCTGTTTGTTTATGAATCTTGGTATTATTACGCAGATTTAAGTATGCAGTTCTATAAAACTGGGTTTTCACTTTGTATCGGAGCCAAAATTCACCTACTGCACAGGCTAATCAACAGCTTCGCCTTTTCAGCATTTCATATTCAGATACTCGAGTTTCTTATCATAGAACTTGAATTTGAAGGAATAAAACTTACAATTAGTTAAATTGATTCCCTCTGCTTACATACAGACCAGACAGCTTTGAATAACGTTGAGAACACATTATGTAGCTTAGTAGTCAAAATAGGTCTGGAAAAATTTCATCCTCTTAAACAACTTAAATGACCAAAGAAGAACCGTGATATTCACTGTAAATATCAGGTACTCAAGAGTTCAGTAGATTTCAGGACAAGAGTAATTTTAGTAGAAGGACAATACTAGATAGTATCACCCTTACAAAATATCAAGATGTTCATATATATAAAGAAGAATATAAAAAGTCAATGAAGCCGCGGAGGGTAAGGCCGGTGGACGTCCCACTCCCACCCATGCCGGCCCCGATGATCAAACCTCAAATCGAAACTCCCTTAGATCAACAAAACCCTCCATTCTCCCAAAATTAACTATCTCCTATAACATTGGTAGGGGAGGTAAAAACTGATAACATAACGTAAAACTGATAACATAACCTTAGTGGTAAAGTCCCACTTGGTACTACTCATTGGTATAGATGGCTGTGGAAATTACCGAGTCACCTTTGTTCACTAAGACCTTGAAGAGTCAAATTAGGATTACTATTCCACTGGACATAGCAATAGAGCGAGGCCTGGATTCAATTATAGAGTTCTGAAAACATTACACTACAGAGGGATTCGGAAACAACATGAGAGTTTGTTTTCAATTGGTCGATGGTGGTCTGTCCGGATTCGTTGGAGGACTGTTTAATGTTTATATTAGACCTTATCGTAGTTCCCACAAAAACAATGAAATCGAACACATCAGTATCGGTTTCGAGGCTTCTGCTCGCGCTCCTACCTCGCGGTCAGTGGACCATGAAACCACTTTGGTCTTCATTCTGGTCTACCTACTTCATAATAGCGGCAGCAGCAATATTTTCGCAAATCAACGCTGACTACGGCAAGCTCTGAATGCTACTGGTTTGATACCCTTCCTCTAAGCAAAACCCCCTGTTGTTACAGATGATGACGATTGCGGTTGCCCACATCGTTCCTACGGGGAGGAGTATGACAGCGGTGAAATCAAACGATGGGTTCATTCCCACAGCTGTGAATCTGAACATTGTATTTTCCAGGTATTTACAATTCTATTACGGTAATTTGGTACCAATATGTAGTTAACGGCCAAAATCACTCTTATATAGGTTCTCCTAAAATAAACATTGCCACTTTGCCATATGTTTACAATGTCGTTAAGTAACACCACTGTTTACATTTATGTGATGTTTACATTAATTATAGGTTCGAAATTACGAAATAAACCCAAAAACCATTGCCGATATTGTCGGCTTGTCTTGAATTCAATTTGTTTTGGATTAGCTTTGACTCATTCCCTGAACATTTCCTTCTGTGAAGCATTGAGTATCTAAATGAATAAATAAAAAAATAAATAAATGGATATAAGTTAATAAATAAATAAATAATTAGTTAATCAATAAGAAATCAGAAAGTCGGGTTTGAGTAAAGCTGAATCACACGGATTTCCAATTTTTTATATGGGCAGCAACCATTTTTTTCGCGGTGTGATTACAAATCATTTCTAGGTGGAACCAGGATGCAACTCGAGTCTGATGCTCTCCCTTGAGTCTATCACGTTGAACTCTTACGATTCTCTGAAGCTTTCTCAATACTTTGTGATAAACGAGACCGAAATTGTCTCGCTTCATTATGTCGACCTAAGCAGGTAAGATCACCAGAGAAGCTTGGAAAGTTCTGAAACTGACCTCGGAGAAAAGGACTAGTGAAGAATTCCTATGAATTTCTCACACCGGTTTGGCTGGGGCCATTTTGAAGACAGTTAAACGATGGTCCTGGAAAGTATTCTAGCATAATTCAGCTCCTACCGACGGTCTATATTCACAGCCGGTGTTGGAGTTGGCTTTGAAATCGAGTACAAGTTCCAGCAAAGGAGATGGTACGGTTCATCGTCATTCACGCTCTCTTTCGAACGAGTTGGACCAGGTAATGGAGTACCGTCACGAATACCTTTATCTAAAACCGTAAGAGGGCTAGTATAAAGGAGGTAATTTCTATTTCCCTATATAGCTCACCAACGATATTCAAAGAGCTTGAATTGAATTTATCACATAATACGATTTCCATTCGGCGCAGACGAAGAAATGAATTCAGTGAGAAACTTGTATTGTTTACTGGGAGAAAAACTACTGATTATATAGCAACTGAAGCGCAAAAGCCAGCTTTGATGTTCAAAGCAGTCATGTGATCGCTTCCAATTTCGCGCGCACGTATTATGACATTCTTCACCCCGTAGATGTTATTATTCTTGTGCCCTGTGAGTTTTTGGGTAAACGGTGATGGAAAAAGTCGTGGGCGCTAATCAAAACCCTATATGAGATGCGCTCTGACCTTCGATTTCACCTCCCAATCGCATATGTAGGGCGTACGTCGCCAATACAGTGGTTGGCGGTGGTCAGCGGAAGTACAGATCAATGGATGTACTTACAATAATCCTCCCAAACAAGTCTAACTATTTACCCGACTCCGGAAAGATGGAAAGCTTGGCCGGCCTAGAAGAGCCGGGATTAAGTCCGACCACGCGAATGCGATAGTGCGTGAAAGTGCCCACAGATTCGACTCCAGAACCCACACGGTTTTTCCAATCGCGGGAGTTAAGAACGAAGAGTTGATGCTTCCATTCTCCCAGACAGATCGGTATCAATCAAGAACCCCGTGGAAACTAATGGGGTTAAGCTGGGGGGATATCGATCCGTGGTTGAATTCCCGTGCAATTCGTATGTTATCTGCTTTTGTGATCATAAGGTGGCTGCGATTAGAGGCTAAGGTTACTAAACATGGAGACTCACTGAGCTCTATTCCAGACATCAAGACCTGCCCATTTCCATTACTTTGTTCGTCTGTAGACTTCACAAACGTTCCAGATATCGAAAGACTGGGACCAATACGTAGGTACCTCATAATTGCTAAAGTCACGCTGTTCAGCAAATGATCTGATGGACGAAGAAGAGAAGTTACAGGCTGTCCTTTTCGAATCCTTCCGTCAGTATCGGGTCGGAAAATCCTTTTAAAATTTCATGATATCCGAGGAACGATTTTCTATGAGAAGCAAGAAAATGGTTATCTGAGGTGAGTCGAAAACGNGTTCAGCAAATGATCTGATGGACGAAGAAGAGAAGTTATAGGCTGCCCTTTTCGAATCCTTCCGTCAGTATCGGGTCGGAAAATCCTTTTGAAATTTCATGATATCCGAGGAACGATTTTCTATGAGAAGCAAGAAAATGGTTATCTGAGGTGAGTCGAAAACGCTTTCTACAGCAAATGTCTATTCCTTCGATCATTTCCGTTCTTGAAGTTCGTTCGGAACCTGCAGTTCGGAAATGGTGATGGCATTCAAAAGCCCATTCGATTCCTAAGTTACCTTGACTGAATTTCAAAGCTCTGAAGCCTCAGAGAGATTTTTGTAACATTATTGTATTTTCAGGGCTATACCATCCGAGGTTGTTAAGCTGCATTCCACTTCGGACTACATAGACTTCGTGCTGGAGAGCTTATCTCCTCATCACCTCCCGCGCTACAACATCACCTTCAAAGAACTCACCGAAGATCGTAAGCTGATTCTTCTAGCTAGTCTCACTACTGCGCAGACTGCCCTTCACATCACCACATGCTTGATATTGGGACTATGCAACTAAGCCGGTTGGGCTGACAATCTAGCCGTGACTGGAATCTACCCTCAAGTATAACTTTTGAGGAGATTAAGTTTAGTGTATCGGAGATATGTAGTCAAATCTGAACGTTCCGCTTCAGACCATGAGATTCCTTCAGACCATGAGATTCGTTCCCAAACCAGTTATACTCATAGGTCTGCCTTGTAGGAACTACACTTCTGCGAACTGGCTGATGCTTACTAGCCAAAAGCAGTACTGTCACCTCTGAGGGCGAAGCAACCTGACTCGGATCCAAAACATACCAAGGCCTGAGAACTATGTATTTCAGCTTGTCACTGTGATAAAAGTGACGTGTTTGTGGGCAGTAAACCGGTCTACATCACATCACCAGGATTTCCGGAAATATACTGCTCGAACTTCCGCTGCAAGAGGCGTTTCGTTCATAACGACACTTTGCGCCATGACTCTGAGCTAACATTCGTTGTTACTGTGCATTTCCTTAGTACGGAGAAATTCGACTACATTCAGTTTTCCTCGGATGGAATCAATATGGAGAGGTATGCTTCTGAAAAGAGCATTAGTCGTTTGTGGTCTCAGCCTGGCGTGATTTCGAGGTGTCATATTAAGGCTGAATGGCACTCACGAAGATGTGCGGTTGGTATTCACTGGAGACATTATGGAGACAGAGTTCGTTACAGATGAGGCGATAGTACGCCATGGATATAACATGTCCGTTGAATCGATTCAAATTCCTACAGGTATGAAGAGATTTTTTTGCAAATTAGGCAAAGATAAAAGGCCGTTCGAAAGGAGTAGGCTAGAAGTTTTAGAATAGTCCAGTTCTTTTAAAAGGTTTCAGGAGCTCCCATAGAACTACTGTCTAGGAAGACTTGTATGCGCATAACATAATCGATTTCGACTTTTTTGGTTCGAAGTGCCTCAAATATGAGCTCACTAAGGTTTTCTCTAAGAAAAATCAAGTAAAGATAATATGTTTCAATTGAAATTACCCGAGCAGCCCCCTAAATTTGATACTTGTTAAACCCATGCATCATTAGGCTGGAATGAAATCTCTAAATTTTCTGATAGAATTCCGAATTTGCAGAATGCCTTTGCCCTCACAAGGGAATAAAAACTATGCCAACTAAGGGCGACGTCAGAATGGATATACCGGATTACTGTCTAGTCGTCTACTGTAAATGGACTATCCCATCTATAACACGTGATATGGTAATTTTTGAAGTGATCTTTTCTTTTAATTATGCCTCATAAATATGCTTTTTCTTTATAATCTGCGCTATATTGCAGAAGTTCGCTGCACTGTTCAACTTCACGTCAGAAGCTGATATGCTCACAGTAACCACTGGAAATGACATAAGACAGTAAGAAGAATATACATAAAAATTTCTACCTCTAAGTCCCATTACCTATAAATGACGCCCAACTTTTCTTCTGTAAGACCCCTTCTCGGTCAAATAGGGGACAGATGCAGCTAGGATGGTCATCAAACGTGTTGAAGGAGGAGACATCCCAGCCATAGTGGTCTTTGAAATAGTAGTTTAGGGTGAACGTCACAATAGTAATATAACAACGCCTAGTAATGCCAATAATACTTTTATTTTGATTAAATAAAGCATGATATAAATAAAAACTGAAATAATATGATATGAATATGAATGTATTTGAGTTATATAAACAATATACCGCTCAATGACATGTGGCGTCTACTTCTTACATTAATACTGTGCGAACTTCCAGGATGCAGTGCAGGACACCCGAAGCGCAACTAGCGGAATAAAACGAAATCCACTACTTCTTCATGACGATACAGTGCCCCATGCCAATAGTTGGGGGGGCATGTCTGTAACTGACAAACCAAAAAATGACCCACCCATACGGCAGTTGTTGCTTTCCCAGACTCGCCTTGGCCCTCAATGCCCACTCAAACTTGTTGCATGGTTGCTTACCCAGAATTAATATGGTTGCACGTTTCAGGCTTTTCACTATTTCGGGAAAACTTGCCAGAAGACAATGGGAAATTTCGAAAAATTCACGACCGGTCACTATTCTTTACGAGCGCAATGTGCAAGCAAATTCATCATTACCATCTGCGATGACATCATTTCTCGTTAGCTGGATGCCCAGTGAAGGTCAAGATTCACATTGGAGCTGCCTTGATGAGAGCAGCGGACAGCACGTACTGCTTTTATTAATTTTAGGGTGTTCTTGTGACAACGGCTCTATAAAGACTGCAGTCGTTGGCGAGTGGGATGTGCTGACGTCGCCCGCGTATCCCCTGTCATACTGTAACGACATGCTGTGCGTCACAAGGATCGTCGCTCCAGAAGGGTAATCCAATTATTTGATCAACAAAATTACTAGTAAGTTTTTGTAATGAAAGTGCGAAACTGAAAGACGGACTTTAAACTTGATTTCCGCTCTCTGTGCTAGGGGCCCACTCTGGAGGTAGAGAATCGAGAAGCAAAGTGAGTGCGACCAGGCAGTTGTGGCATTGTGAATTGCTATAACCTCAACCAACATTAGTAGTCCAACTAAAAAGTCAGGAATTCTTCAGTTGCGCGGAATCAATCAGCCGGTACGGATCCGACCCGGGGCAGAATTCTGATGCCAAGATGCAACAACTGTAGGAAGCCCTTTGAGCAGCAGTTACAGTTACAGTTACAGTGCATTGTGCAGCAACTTCCAGTGGCGGTAGGGAGCGAGCGGTGAGTTCGCACTCTGCTTAGGGCTACTTACCCTTCTAATGTGCGCCATACCTATGTGATGATCTGCTAGTGCTGGGAAGTACCACACTCCCATCATCACGTAATCACCACTATAATGCCTCCTACCATACCCCATTCGGAAAATCAGAAACTTTTTAGTGGGTTACGTACCACATCATCAGCAACACGGAACTCTTGTACAATTATATGGAACCTGTCGTTCCATTCAACCAATCAAAAACAATTGAAATATCGAGATTTGATCAGTAACGACTAGTTTGCAGGCATCATGTCGTACTGAATATTACCGACTTCTACACGGAACCCTACAATGATGTACTCGCGTTATTTGATGGATGGAATATCACAGGGAGGCACATAGAGGTGTACGTGAAAAACTCGAAATTCTTATTCTATGAGGTCATCAGAAAGCAGCCCTTCGACGGCATCATTTCATGAATAGGGAGTAAAAATTGGTGAGAGTGCCCATTTTCAAAAGCGCTTCAGTTGAGCAGGTCAGTTTTCAGCACTTAAATCAGGCATCATTATATAATTTGCCGTCTGCGAAGTGCCCCCGAAGAAACCCTTCATGAAGTCCTGCTAAATTTCCACAAATCCACTAAAGGATTTGTATCGTACCCCAAATCGTCTTTCCACTTATTTCTCATTTTGAAGGTTCCATGGAAAGAAAAGATTCCCATATCTCATTCGAAACAGCAACGAGACATTATCGCTTGTTTTCAAATCGGACCATGAAGTCTACTATCAAGGATTTCGACTTCTTTTCTCGGCTGGTATGTTTTTACTGATTCATAGCAAGTTCGACTTTTCACAAAACTACATTGTTGCACTCTTGCTCCTTCAATTCCAAATCCACAAAGCGAGTTCTTCGGGTGCTTTGTTTCCGTGGAATTCGGAAACTCGACACGCCACATGCACGTCGAGGAAATCGTAGGGCGTTGAAGAATTGTACTGCGTGCCGATAGGATTGAATCAGAATAACTAAGTAGCCTTTCATCAGAAAATCTTCCAACCCTGGCGTGGTTGTTGCCGTAGTTGTCGCGATACAAAATGTTGTGGGAACCAGGCAGACTGTCCTGCTGTATAAACAAGGAGATCAAGATTGGAAGACCTGGAAGTGGAGGTCGACGACCGCTACTCCCATAATCTCCGCTTTGCAGTCGACATCGTGCTTATAACGCCGAACATCGAGTGTGCGGAATATTGCTCGCCGATTTTGACAGCACTCCTGGAAGATCAGTTCAAGACTGAACAGGACGAAAGCGACGTTTATCAAGAACGGACTGGTACATGTTGCTTCTTTTATGCTAAATGGGACGAATATTTGCGGATGCTTCAGCTAGGTGTACCTCCGTCGAGAAGTCAACGTGATGAATGACCTAGATCCTAGGTGAGCACATCAGAACGCGCAGCGTAGGAGCATTCAAGAACATCGGCGGAACCGGTAGACAGATAAAGAAGATCTGGCTGCGCTCCTACCTTTTCGACGTTGCGGTTCTTCTTGTTTTCAGATACGCATCATTGAGAGAGACATGAACGCTTCCCAAGCAAGACTAGTAGGCGGTCAGCTCCCAACGCGCTGAAAGCTCTGAACGAAAGAATGCTAGGTTTCGGGTCCCGTAAGTGAGGAACACTCCCTGAACTACCTTGGCACGCGACGGGGATGAATTGCTTTAAAGGCACTGTTCACGAAAAAAAAACGGTTTCGGAGATCTGCACATGGTTTGAATTCGACGCCCCCTCTGATGCCATTTGTGCAGGAATGAGGTCGGAAAACGGTCTGGATAGGGCACAATAAGGGCAGGAACAGTGGGGGACGGGAGGCCTCCGCTCCTCGCTAGGCTGACTACGAGTTCTAATTGTCCTTCACCACATTCGCATTGGAGCGATGTGTTTGCTTGGGTGGCTGTCTGCTATTGCAGACATTGCATCGCCTTCGTGCACTCGCCCGAACACTCCCTTAACCGCCGTTCTTCCAATGTAAAACTCGTTCAACCCCCCTTTCCAGCTCTTTTTTGACCTTTTCTATTTCTTTTTGTTCACCTTTTTTTGCGCTTTTTTCGTTGTTATCGCTTTATTCTAGAGTAGTTCTATGAATTCCCGTCAAAAAAGGGTACCCTAAATTCATCGTGAACGGTGCCTTTAATGGCACCCGCTCGAAGAAATCGATTATCAACGGGACGACAGTTGGCATGCGAGGCGAAACCCAAGTTTCCAAATCTACCCGTCGAAGTTTCAACATTACCATGAACGTGTACATCAGTACTTATGGATTTAGAAAAGAATTCAGCCGCCGTCTTAAAATAAGATTATTTGTATTACTTATTATTTTATTTCAGAACCCAACGAGGATATCCACCTCGAGGCTCATTCATCCGTGCATTTTTCTACCATAATCATCATCCTACTATCAATTATGCTCGTCGCCACCGTCATCGTTGCAGTGTTCAGGCGGTATGCAACAGAACTCTTCTAACAAAGCGTACTATACGTTCGCGCAGTGGCTTGCTAGACTGGCCAGATGTGGCCAGACTGGTCAGAGCCTAGTCGACTACTTTTCACTACTAGCCGGGAATAATCTCTAATCAACCAAGCGACCCAGAATGAAGTACGAAGATGGGATTCGATTCCCGATCTAGGAACTCAAATGTTACTTTGGAAGTAGTTCTTCGCTGAGTTTCCCACCACTATGACAGGATACTATTAAGGAGACCTCCTTGTCGTGATTTCCGCTTCAAATTACCTCTTTTCAGTGTACCCGTGCGATTCGAAAACCCGCTCTATGTAGCCTCCGTCAGCTACTCCGATCGTGCCGAGTATGTTTCACGAAACCTTATTCAAGTTTTGGGTAACAAAATAAAAAAAAAATTGAAGAAAGATTGAAATAAGTCGCATTGTAATTGATACGATAATGATTATAACAAATCAGTGAAGGATAAAGTCTTCTAGGGTTGATCGATCTCGTCCGAGGGATTCATCCTGCATTCGACTACCGTACAGAATCGTAGTGGCGTATTGGATGTGGCCTATAAAATGACTAGCGTTGGCCAGCTAACGCACAAGTTAGTGCTTATATCCCCCGGACGATCTGTTACCAATCAACTGACCCCAGAGAGATGGAAGACATGGTCGGCTCGGGCGGATAGTGCACTTTTGCCACTACACCATTCCTCCTCCACCCCTTGTATCAAGAATAATAATTGTAAATTTAGTAGTGGTTATCTAAAATCGTTTACTTTATCCCATTTTGAGAGCTACTTTTTACAGGTCAAGGAATGGCAGTGACATATTTTCTTGAAGGCTCTTCAGCCATATCTACAGGCGAAAGGTATGATGATATACTTATTTTGAACACTTTTACAGTACCTTTTATATTTTTGAACAAAATCTTATGTAAAATACTTCTGTATAAGAATTCCAACCAGCAGTTAACATTGAAAATTCACAAATCCAGTAATTCATGAAGTACCCAACGGCTTTTGTAAATAAATTATTTCCTAAGGGGAATATACTTATTACTATCATAGTACTAATATACTTATTACTACTATAGATACTTAGTTGTAAATTAAAACCAAACCAAAATACCATAAAAGAAGGAATTATTTCATTATAACAGAGGTCAATTAGAGTATGTAACTTATGCAGCGCCCATTTCAATTCAAAAATAAATAGCCAATTCTTTCTCACAAAGAAATTTTTCAGATTCGAAACAATGTTCGATAATAGTCGAGAGAAGCCTACCCCCGTGAATCGTCGAGGTGATCCGCCAAAATGTATTCGAAGGCTTCGAAAATTCCATAACAGATCGTAATATCTTCACTTTCTATGGATATCGCCGAATGATATTTCTCTTTGACTGTACAAATTATAAACTGTTGTAGAAATCGATAATCATATTTTGATTTTATCATGCACACGTATGTAATAAATCCTCTTATCACACGGTTGTACTTCGAATGCTCTTTTTCTTTATTTGGTCAGTGTAAACTCTGATACATACGCGTGGTCATTTCTTTCGCGTGGACAATTCATTCTCATTTGAACAGGGCAGATGACGTTGAATCGGAAAAGCTTTTACAAAGATCTTCACTGTTAGGATGGCTTTTTCTTTTTCTTTTCCATCCCTCTCCTGACTAGCTGACCTCCCTCTTGTTTTCCCCAACAGCTTATTTTCCTGATTCTACCAGGAGCGGCACATCAGCGCCCTGAACCTGAGGTTGTTCTAGTTGGGTACCGTGTCATTCCGAGATTGTCAGCTAGTTTATCGAAAGATGGTAAACCTTCGATGGAAAGGCTCAGTACCCTCCTGCCTTGTATGGGCTCCTCGGAGTTAATCGCTAGTTCCACACGTGATCTGAGTGGGACCAGCAAATTATAGGGAAGGGCGCCCATAAGGTCACGCTGAGGGTTCAATTTCTATTCCAAGCAAAAGAGCTTAATGTGAAAGCTGTTCCGCTTGCTCATCTACCCACTAATAGTCATATAGTGTTCCATTTTGCTGAACAGCCTTACCACTAAAGTACTAATTGACCCGGGAGTGATGGAATGTCTAATGTCGATCCGGGAAAACGTTTAGCAACACCTTCAACCATCTAGCGGCTTCACCCTCGCCGATACCTATGAAGTATACCTGAAGACATGTCCACTGGTAAGTTTAACAATGGAAAAAGATATTACAAAGCTCTGCTATAATTTCAGAGAATTTTATACAATCATAAGCGGAGTTAGCACTATCGCATGGCGCCGTTACCATATATATGGTTGGTCCCAGCACCGGTCCCTCGAATCCATATGGGCCCAGACCAAGCACCCCTTTCTACATCGGGGTTGGTGAAATCCTACCCAACTAGTAATGAATGATAAAAGGTGAAACAGCTAATGGGGCTGGCTTTCGCGAGCCATTCTACACATGAAACACCCATTCAAACACCAATACGATTTCGAACTGAAAGTAATAAATACTCAGGCGTACTCCTTAAATGGGACTAACTAGGGCCAAAACCTTACGTTCTCCATCTTGAAGATTGGCAGCTCAAAAAGAGCACGGTGCTTGAGAGCAGCTTCTCGGCGACATTACACGCCCTTTGTCGGACGATCTTTCGAAACACCACTTGGGGCATGATCGCTAAGCTTTTATCACAAAAACACGAACTGTGTAATGTTTATGTTAGTCCTTATCGCATTTCTCACGAAATCGATTATAGCGACTCAAAAACAGTCATTGTCATTTAGTTAGACCTCATGAAGCCATATTCATTGCTCTGGATATTCCATTACTATTTATTATTAGTGATTATTCCCTCATTTTTTCGAGTTAGTGCTAGCAGTGGTGAGTTCGAACTGACTTCACAGTTACAGTTCAAATATTCTCGTATTTTTGGACTGGTAGAGATCTGACGTGGCCTGTGAGAATCCCCTCCAATTACCTACTTTGACCTTCCAACAAAAAATATATTCGTTCTTTAAAACAGCAATTACCAGTTACATAGTTTATGCCTGCTCGGAGTATGATGCAATCGTCTCATACACACTACAAAGGTCGGCGTTTTTGTGATGGGAAGCGCTCTGGAAGTGACTGGATTGGGCCCTAGAACCACTTTGCACCAACTTTGCTTACATCTTATCCTCTGCAACAGAGCCAAGCTCAGATTTAATAGAAACAGTGCCTGGGCACATGAAACGTGCTTGCAAACATATGGGAACTCCTTTTATACCCCCAAAGTCGACTATACATTTAACGAGAATAGTTTCCCTGAATGCAAACGCCTGTGACTAATTGAAAGTTAACATTCCCCTTCAGATTGCGATTGTGGAATTCAAGTGTACGGTGAAGAGTATGAGGCCGGTGTCATCAAACAACGGGAGAGGATCCAAGGTTGCAATCGACAGCATTGCATTTTCTTGGTAACTTTCCAACACTCAAATTTTTTTGGATGGAACACTTATAAAAAAATGGTTTATTTCTTTTTCTTTCGAATTTTTTTTACTCTAAAGGTAAAAAGAAAACAGTACAATAATGAAACCCCAAATCGAACGCAAGGTATGAAAGAATAAAGATGTGAATAGAAAACTTATTTACATATTTTCATTTAATCGTAGGAATTATTAGATTTTGAAAAAACTTTTTTCGGAATAATTAATTAAATATGTACATGTATAATTGAGACATTAGGTGCCACGACTAAGTAACAAAGTATCCACCAAAATATCCCAACATTCTCTATGTAACCTCAAATTCAACTGATCGCAAGGAAAGAGTTTCCTAAGCAACATCGAGGTTGTTCTCTGATTGGAAGGCCTACTTCCCAGCAATCTTCCAGCAGAAAAAAAATTCGCATACCTGTTGGAATTTTTCGTTGAGCCACATCGAGCCTCGGTTGTTCATTGTAAAAATAGAATCCGTCGCAGACATTCGTTTTTCTCGATTTGCAAGGCCATCAATGGCAGGTCGCTCTGAATTACAAATGTCAGCCTACCTTGTAATATTGTCGAAATTTGGTAGAGAAAGGACACTACTAACTGTTGCTATATAATAGAGAACTATTGATTATTTTATCAAAGAAAACTCCTCGGCAGCGTCTAACACACGAATGGCTTGTCATGTATTAATTTTTTCAACGTTTAAAAACAACAAAGGGTGCCTCAAGAAAAAGAGAAAGGAAAAAAAGATATTAGCTAAGAAAAAATTGAAAACAAGTTTCCAATTTGTTCCACCATTAAAAGTGCTCGAAGCGCTTATAGAAACGTAGTGGACATTGCCTTCTATGTAGTAGTTTGAAGCGTAAGCGGTCAAGCAGTTGATTGACTTCTCAAGAATATGCTGCATAGTACTCATTCTGCTTATTTCTTTTATAAACAAAGGATTTATTTATATATATGTATATGTAGATATATTATATATATATATATATTCAGGATATACCGTATATGTATACTGTATATATATACTGTATTGATATGCCTTCTTGCCATTGATGATAGTCTCCTTAATAAACATGGACTGTAAACCCTAAAGTCCAGCGATATACAAAGCATCTGATTATTGCAGATCAAACCCGGAAATAAGACGAGTCTAGCGTTGTCGGTGGAGTCGGTTTCGATGAAATTCACGGATTCTGTGAAGGTTTTTCAATTGATTATGGTGAACAACTCTGAACCCTACTCCATTCACTTCGTTGATCTGAATAGATAAGTGGCTCAATGCCAACTCATCTTGAAGATCCTTTTCATGCTTGTGTATAGGATCTTCAACGGTGGTAAACCTTTTCATTTAATTTTTCTAATTCCTTAATAGTAATATCTCGTTCCGCGTGCGAAGCCTTCCTTAGCCACATGCTTATTGTTAGACGAGAGAAAAGAAGAATCATTTCTAATGTAAATGTGAAGTTTGCTACTCCTACTATTTTGATGACCGCGTTATATAAGGGAGACTATTCTCAAGAGTCATGCTGAAAAATCCACTTATTCATTGCAACTAGACGAGACTATAGGTCTAGAATTACCTACTGAACCACTCTAATGAAGATATAACGCAAACGTTTGAGTATAAATTTGTATATTTTACATATTTTCATACATTCTTACACTTACTTTCGCATTTTACTGCCCACGGCGAGTACGTATTCACTGCTGCACCAGGAGTTGGATTTGAAATACATTCCTACACATCATGGTATGGAATATGGTTTGGCTCATCGTCATTCGCGATTAACTTTGAGCGCCTTGACCCAAGTAAGCCTTTTTCTGCTATTCTGTTCCTATTATTCATAAATTCTGTGACCAATCATAATGATTTCTAATAATGCGAAAAAAAACCATCATTATTCGAAAAAAGGTGGGAAAAAGTCGTTAAAGAATAAGGGATGGCGAAAAAACAAGGAAGAAGATACCTACAAGAATTGAATTAGCATTTAACTTTTCTTCGACCATTATTTTACAAAAACCTTCTCTTCAGATGTCAAAGTATGCCCACACCCACTTCTTCTCGCTTCAACTTCTTTCCGTACTGTACCAGCTATAGAACGACCAGGACCAGTGCGTAAGTGATAACAGGTTCTGCTGCTGTACTAATTTGGCCAAAAATACGTTTTGAGAACGGGTTTCGTTGATAGAAAGGCCAGAAGTGAGGTAATGGTCCCCAACGTCCTCAATGGACTAGAAATAGAACGTGTGAGGGGGACCATATTGACTTCCACCCATTTTCTTCACTCCTCCAGTTATTGCTCTTCATCAAGGGATTGATTTAAGAGTGAAGAGTGTGTTCCTCCACCACTACTAAACGAGTAAGGTTTGTGGGACAGGGTCATAAACAAGAGATACACCGCTTAACTCTATCTCAAAGAAATAACAAATATAAGTGAAACTGAATCGAAGCTATTGCAGGATGCCCTTTCCGTATTATTCCCTCGGTAGCTGGTCGTAAAATCTACTTAAAGTTCAACAAAATGTGGGGAACGTCATTGTTCTTGAACGAGGAGCAGAGTAACCTGAGGTAAATGTTTCCATCGACGGTAAATTTCCTTTCTTCAGAATACAAGGGAAAAATAGTCCGAGCGGGTCAACAAGCAAGATGGGAAAGTTGATGGCGCAAAGATATCTTCACATATTCAGGCTTATACAGACTGGGACATCAGGCCTACATTCGGCTACGGACAGCATAGATTTTGTGCTGGAAAGTCTGGGCCATCATGATCTCCCAAAATACAACATCACTTACAAAGAGCTTCTTGAAGACCGTATGTGATTAAAAGATTTTAATACTTCGTACTTACAAAGTAAAGATAATTGAACAAATAATATTAATAGTAGTAAACAACAATAATATAACGTGTAATACAATATGATTTAAGAGTAACAATATAATGCAGTAGAATAATGCAAAATATAAAATATTTTGCGTAAATCGGGCCAACATCAGGGCCTGCAACTGCGCCACGCAACTTACTGATGTTCAAAATCGTGATTGCGTTTTGAATGCATATGCGGCTTATACTTGTGGTGAGCAGCCGATCAACAATTCAGTGCTTTCATCCTCCCAGAGGAGGCTGGTATCAATTAACCGACCCTAAAGGGATACGAGACTGGTTGGCTTAGACGGATATCGATCCGAGATCGAACTAGTGACCATTCATGTGAGACAGTGCGTCACTTGCCGACACTTCCATCCGTAATAAAGTATGACGTTATACAACGTATAGAATTATGTAAATGATGTTAATAATATTGATACTGACTAGCAATATTAGAATCGCAACAAAAAAAATTACTGGTAATATTAATAATGGATCATGATTAAAAAAAGACACCAATTAAAATTGCAATATTATTAATAATATTATATTAATACCTAAGATCTAAAGTTTATCGAAGAATCATTGGTGTTCCCTAGAATTTCCTTCGTGTATCTCAAGCATTTCAGCCTGTTACTGTGACAACAAAGACATTGTTGTGGGTGAAGAACCTCTATACGTTACATCTCCCGGATTCCCCGACATCTACTGCTCCGATTTCCGTTGTAAAAGACGATTTCTTCATAATGACACATTACGTGAAGACGCTAGCTTGACTTTTTTGGTCACAGTACATTTTCTAAGCACGGAAAAGTACGACTACATTGAGTTTTCTTCAGGTGGAGTCGTACTCGACAGGTTGGGAGCATTTCATCTTTTCTGAATGAAGGTTGAGGATCAAAGGTAGCAGTGCTGTTCAGATTGAATGGAACCTATGAAAATTACCGGATAATTATCACCGATGACATCATGGAAACGGAATTTGTCACAGATAAAACGATAGTACAGCATGGCTACAACATGACTGTTCAGTCTGTTCATATTCCTACAGGTGCCGGCTTTATTATCGATTGAAAAATCGATGCTGAATGATTTAACTGGGATGAGCCATGTACTTAACTTCCAATCAAATTTCTTAGCATTTGTCCAAGGTCAACTAAGGTTTCTTACTCCCTTCGGCAAGTAATATGGACCCCATATTGAAGAATTCGGCACTATTTACCCTTTACTGCCCCACTCTGTCGAGAAAGGGCTGGATTTCTACCGAATTTTTTCAAAGAAAATGAAACCGGCTAGAAACTTGCCTGGAGGGGTAATTTGACCCATAGAACACGAAGATCGCACTCACTCATCATGAAAACGCCTGGGACATTAGTTAGGGGCAAGTTTTCAGCAAGAGCGGTGACCCAGCAATTTGGCGCAAGCGCCTGTAGCGCCAGCGCTAGGCATCTTTATGACAAATGGATGCAATATTCGTGTTCTACGGGTCAAATTACCCCTGTAGGCAAGTTTCTAGCCGGTTTCATCTTCTTTGAAAAAATTCGGTAGAAATCCAACCCATTCCCGACAAGGTGGGGCAGTAAAGGGTAAATAGTGCCAAGAATTCAAATGCTAGTAGAATAAGAGTAAAGGTAGAATGCATGGTGCTTAAAATCAGCGCCTTTCTTAACATACTCCAGCCGAGCACTACAGCTTTCCTACCAATTTTGGACATCACTTCTCTGTTTAGGAACCAGACTATAAACGGTGAGTCATAGAGAAATAGTAAACAATAAGCAGGCAGTCCGTCTTCAGAATGTCGCTGCCCACATAAAGGCGTAAAAAAGATGTTGTCGAAAGGGAACATCAGTATGGAAATACCAGTGCACTGCGAGGCGATCTACTGTAAATGGATCATCCCTCCTACAACTACTCCTCTGGTAACGTACGAACTTTTCAATCATTTTTCGCTTTTTGATTTTTGTCTGAATCAAAAAATTCGAATGAATAATCGTTTCTATTTTGACAGAAATTCGCTGCATTATTCAATTTCACCAGCGATTACGATACGCTTACGGTAACTACAGGAGACGATATTCAACAGTATGTAAGAATAAAGTTATACATAGTGATTATCAGTTCTGGAGATTTTTTTGAACGAATATTCTCACATCAAAAGAAGTAGGCATACCAAGGAGCTATCAAAGATTTACAAATGTCTTTTTCTGGAGTATAAACTCAAAATGCAGCAGAATGGAAATGTACTAGTGCAAAAGAGTATGCCCACACGCCTGACGTGTCTACTGCCTTCGTAGGCAAATTCCAATACAATAAGGTTTTGCAGGAAAAAGTTACTAAAAAATTGCTTGAAAATGACGACAAAGTTGCTTACAGGTGCAGTTTACAATAGAAATTGTTTCTGAGATTTCCCTCTTGGATTAATAGTGGTTGATAGTGGCCCCCAAGGATAGCAAGGGGGACATTGTCGGGCAGAAAAACGGCTTCGACAGGGCAATGAAAGGGCTCCAAAACCGGTTTGGCCTACGTACACACCCCCAATTAGATGGCTTTTTCAAGGCTGCACCATTCACAATGGAGCGTTGAGACGTCGGCGAATAGGATGCCTACGTGAGAGACACGTACGGTTACAGACACACAATCTCGTACCACTCCCATTGTTACTGTTTTTTATAACCTTGTATTTATCAACATCCGCCAATTTTGACGCTTACTTCGCCATTTTTTGCACTATTCTGCACCATAACTTCTACTATTTCAATTAGCTGAATGCCTCAGAATTATCATGAACTATGCCTTCGAATGCAAATTACACTACTTTTCACCTTTTTCTTAATTAGTAGTAACAACTTGATAAGATTTCTCGGTAACTGTAGCGCATTCAGATTTTACACAATTTCGGAAAAACTCACCAAGAGACAGTGGCAAATTCCCGAAAAATCTCCTTCGACAACAATATTGTACGAACGAACGGTTCCCGATGGTCTCAAACCGAACTTGAAGCCTGTTTCGTTTTCAGTGAAGTGGATGCCTAAAGATGAAGGTTGCAAGCCCGGTGATAAAGTCAATTTTCATAGTTAAACATTACTTTTTTTAGACTGTTCGTGCACGAATGGATCAGAAAAGGAGGCAGCAGTTGGCGAATGGAAAGAGCTGACATCCCCAGTTTATCCGCTATCATATTGTAACGACATGCATTGCACTACGGTAATCAGAGCTCCAGCACGGTAAAGTCATTAAAGCAGCTCTCCTAAAATTGAAAAAAAACTGGTAATATCGGCAAAGCAGAAGGAAAAAAGTGGTTGATATAAGCCAATTTTCTGAAATACGACAGGCACTTAATTTTCGCGTAAATTTTCGCGCTAAGTGGCAGATAAGACACCACATAGAGCCGAGGATTGCCGTGCAATCGAAGAACCCAAACTAGTGGAGAAGAGGCAGGCTCCATTGAATAGAAGTAACTCGTTTACCGAGAATAAGAGGTAGCACGGCTCATCAAGAGAAGATTGATAAGTTACTAGGAGGTTATGAGCTCTGCTCTCTCTCACTCGTTCTTTACTCCTCAACCAGCACTTTCTTGAAAGTTTCACATAAAAAACGGTGACTGTATCTTTGTCTTTTCTCGATTCTCCCGCAACCTCACGCCCAAGAATCTGCTGTTCCTGTTAACACCGCCACTCCCTTTTATCCACGACATCTGCTGTAACGACTATCCCTCCTTATCACGCCTCGCCACCTCTTCTTTGAGGTTCATCGTAGTCTCTCATCCTAAGCTTCGAAATCCATGTTTTTCCTTTAGCTCGTCCTGTAGCCTTCTAAGCAGCTGTATATACCACCGAAAGCGCTGCTCTCACCTGAATAGAGGCTATCTTTATGGTTGTCCCGATTCCCTCGTTGCTGACCATATCCAGTTGAGCCCGTAGACTCATCTCAGCATTCTCACCATGGTTGGGTAAAGTTTTCCCTGAAGTTCTTGTCTACGGACCAGCATTCGCCGCACTGGAAGATCCTCCACTCCAACACTGTCGAATACAGCATTCGCTTTCGTATTCTAGAACTCAATCGACCTTAGAATATTCAAGTTCGTTACTATCGCGTGAGCTGGTGAAGCGCAGAAAATAGCATAGCTATTTTTTGATACGATGCTATACATGAACATGAAGTTGCTACGCATCCTCGTGTTATATTTCCGTATGGAAGCTTTGAGGCTGTACTATTATTCTTAGAGATACTTTATTCTTGAAAAAGCTGTTCGTACTACTGGGAAATAATTTGACGCCTTGCAGACACCGGGTAGTTCTGAATATCACCGACTTTTATACAGAGCCGTACAACGACGTCTTGCTGATATATGACGGAAGTAATCCCAGTGGTCAATATATGAAAATGTGAGTCAAAAAAGATCGGTCACCTCCTAAACGAGAACAATCGGTAGCTACTTGTAGTCACAACTCTGTCGCTTGTTTCTTATGAAAAAGCATCTAACACAAGCGATTGAAAGGCCAACAGGAAAGGAAATTTGTTGAGAAGACCTGGTTGAAGGTCTTGGTTAGAGGGCCTTCTATGGAACGCAGTCAGGTGACTACACACTCCTTACAACGCTCTTGTCTCAGGTCTTTTTTCGATGCGTCCTATATATCAGAGATTCGGATGTGACAGACACTTTCAAGGGAGACAGATCATGCCGTGAATTAAAATTGGTCCTCAGTGAGATCTACGTCCACTGTATTCTATTTCACCATAAGATCACCGTAAGAACCGGGATCCCGTACAGAATCTTCGTTACTATTAATAAAATTGCGAAGTATTAGCGCACGTGCACTATCCATATGAACCCACGTGTTAGGGTAAGTTAAATAATAGATACTTCTTAAGAACAGATAAAAGTAAAAAGAGCTAATCCGCCGAACGATTCTCCCTTTCTTTAGTGATGAGCGATAGAAGATTCCACGCACTCATGGTAGTGAAGTAGGCCGAGGAGTGAGGCATGACCAAAATCTTATTACATCATCATCTATTCTTCTCTCGTGATATCGAGGTGTTAAGAAAAAAGCCGTCAAGCTTCGAACAACTCCAATTCTATCGGTACCGTAAAAAAAACTGTCTAGCTCTAAAACAGCTCAAATCAGCTCTTCAGCCAGTCAGTTTTGCACTGCTATGGACATCACCACAAGGAAACCACAGGAACGAAAATTCAGTACGGGTACTCCGCTACTTCAATGAAATTGCAGCAAAATAAAATGCAATGGACGCAGAATTCTACCCGCAACGTATTTCCTTTCGCGACAGAACCAATTTTCCTTCGCAAACTCCCACCTTCACATATACGTCGTGTCGAAAAGGCGCCTTGGGCAAGGACAACGAGCTGGCGTGGGGGAGCTAGAGTTGGAATTACAACACAAGCACTCGCTCGCGTAAGGACCCAGAGCCGGGTTACTGTAAGAGTCGAAGGCCAATACTAGATTTTCGCTTCTGTTAAGAAGCCCTTATTTTTACCGTGAGGTGATTACGCGCAAGCCACAGCGGTGATACTCACGCTGAGGTACAGGGTATCTGGAAGAACAAAGGGAATGTGATTTCGCTTTCGATGAAGGAAGCTGATTTTGGCTGCCAAAAAGTCACTTATTTTGGAACTGGATGCACACCTAAGCTGGTTGTTCCCTCAGAAATGGGTTTCTTTTTCTTGACGACTGTAACATTCTCACCTTGATTTCTTTAGCGAGAATTTTTAATTATTAAAGGTTTTCTGGGAAGAGACAGTTTCCCAACCTGATTCGAAGCACAAACGAAACCCTTTCGCTGGTCTTCAAATCGGATCATGACATTTCGTACTATGGTTATCGCCTAATTTATTCTGCTGGTACGTTCTACAACACCGCTCTACAATTTAATTGAACATTTATCATGAGGAACTTATAGCTGGTTAGGTTAGGTACGGAATATAATACTTGGAAAATTGTAGCTGACCCAATTAGTCCAATCCGTAAAATTCCAACCAGTTCAACGCTAGCGTTATTACTGCAACATAATGTAGCCAGGACTTTTGGGACCAGCAATAAGCTACCTATTACGTCTCCCATACTTCGAGACGAATTTCTGGAAGTAACAACTCTCGTTTACCCGGTTATTAAACCTTCTTCAATGCGGTAGTAAGGTACTCTTTGATCAGTTCTAGCTTGTTTGGTTAGATGGGTGAACTACTTATTTCGAACATTCACTCGGGGCACGGTACCCGACCTCTGTTTTTGCCGGAATCGTATCTTCTTCAACAAGACATGCAGAATGGAGGGGTTGCGACCTTTGTACCCAAATTCTCACAATGGATGGCATGCATGCGGTAATGGTTCCGCAGTAATTACTGTAATCACCCACTGAAAACTCAAATCTCACTCCTGCGAGCTCCGACAAGGGAATTGACCCGAACAGCGAGCGCGATACGCCGTTCGGGTAAGGAATAACACACCCGAAATGAAGTATCTCCACAAAATTATCACCAATTACAGATTTTTCCAGTATCTAAACAATTCTTCCAAGTAATCGAATAACTGCATAGGAATCCCTGTAGAGTCTGGGAGAGGGTAAGAGTTTGTTTGGGATTTCGCTTTATTCATCTGATTCATTGCAGAATTCAATGAGGAACTGGAAGAGATGAGACAAACAACTCACTTTACCGCCTTCCTATTCGTGCTGTTATCTTTGATACTCATTACCGCCATCGTTGTTGCTATTTATAAAGGGTTAGTTCGATTGTTCATTCATTAAACGAACAACAAATTATAGCGCAGTAACATCCTCATTAGCTCCGTCGGGTACTCTTTCACCATCGTTATAAGTTGTGTATAGTCAGAAGCCCCCTTGGGTCCTCCCGATGTTTGGTAATTCGTTCGAAAGTTTGAATGGAATGAGTTACGCAACAAGCATTTGTCTAGGATAGTTATTGTAAAATCTGGCTTTTTTTCAGATTCCCTGGACGATTTCATCGTCTACTCTATGTACATTACGTGAGCCAAACGGATACGGTGGAGTAAGTTGTAATCGTTTAAATGTTCGATTTGCAAAACTCAGAAAAACTGCGAGAGAAAATGGCGCTGTACACAATAGACGGAACTATCCCCATGGATGATCATATGCCCACAAAAACTATATACTTTACTTGTGATTCAAGAAAGCAACCATGAGGAAGAGATGACATATGAGAGTTCTCGGGTCTCACGTTCGCAGTCACGGATGCGGGGTTAGAGCTAAAGGCTGATTCTGACTGTTCCAAAACTAACCCCTTTACTACTACAGTACCAAGTCCCACTTCTAGGTCTACGTGTTTTCTTTCCAAATTTCAAAACATTGAATAATTTTCCATGAATATGGGTAGTTCGAGAATCCAGTTTTTAATGAGAATGATTAATTTTTACGTCCTAGTAACCCGTCATCATTTCCTCAATTTCAGCTCGACAGCCGATGATAACATACTGATAGAATAAAAATCAATTCATAGCCACAGGTATTTAAAATTTGCAAAAACAGACTTATAAGGTTGTAAATAATAGTAAATAAAGATGTAATGCTATAACGATGATAAACGCAACGAGCAAAATGAGATGTCACACGTATATTGTGGGCCGTGAATTAGATAGCCAACAGACAAACTTCATAAGACCAGACCGTTGATAGGAGAGAAAGTTCACTCATAGCTTGATAGTTTACTTAGACACCCTTTCGTAAACGAAACATGAATTGGCAGTTACAGAATGACAGCTTACCTCTGTCCACTTTCATACGTTTTCCACTTTTTGATACTGTCTCCTTGTCTTTGAATGAGAATACACACATATGGGCACCTGTGCCATTACAAATGAAATCAAAAGCAAGAAAGTCAATGTGTAAACTACCACGAACTATCCACCAAGTAGAACTCTCAATTCCTTGAACCAGATTTTTCAATAAACCATTGTGGTACATTATCTAAGAATTTATCACTTGAAAAAATAACAAAACACAAATTCGAAAATTCACTTAAGATTCAGATCAATCTACTACAAAGTGTTCTCGTAAAACATTAACCTCGTTGAAAATGCAAATGCAAGAACGAGTAAACTTTACTGATCTACTGAAGTCAGTACTGTAGTGTGTACATTTAATACACTCAAAGTGTGATGTTACTCAATGATTACTCATTAAAAAGCAGTGGCTTTGACAATGTTTGAATCAAGGTTTACCAGTAGATGAGATTGGCGCTCGTTAAAAGGCTGTAGTTGAACCAGGCCTGGCGGTTTCCATTTAATCTCATTCTTACCAGGATTAACAATATCATAACGTTGTACGAAGCTGGTCGAAAATTGACTATATGTATTTACAAGCAGGGTTAGAATACTATTCTGAGCGCGGTGAGCATACTCACATTCGAATGGAGTAGCACGAGCCTTGATAGCTATAGTTGATTCAACGCAGCTCACACTAGTAGTCAACCCTAACGAACCGGTTAAAAATGTGGTCAGCACTGTTGTCAAAAGTTGAACTCTAGGAGATCAAAATCAGAAGAAGATAACTGAACATAGCATAATGGCAAGGCAATTCAAACTATGCCAATTACTGTGAAGAAAAAGCTTGGCAAGAGATTCAGTGAACTTCATCGACGAGAAGGCGAGTATCGTACAAATCAGCCTGCCTACTTGTCACTATCCAGGTTCGCTTGATATTGTGCCATCTGAAAAAAAGGAAATGTGCAAGAATTATAATCAACCCCGACGGCCGGACAGGAAGGTGAGCGATTAATCCTATTGGTGGGCAACAAAAACTTGAAAAACTCAAAGAGCTTGAACTCACTAATTGAGGATTATAAGCAGAGAGATCAAAGCCGGGTGGCATTCCCATATGGGTTAGATCTTGACCTGGCAACATTCCTTGGTAGGGATTGAGCATCGATGATGACCCTGCTAGCATGCCATAATTTGCTCCAGGAAGACCTGAAAGAAAATCCTTCAATTACCTCTAGTTCATAGATATGATGTGCAGCTATATTATCCGGCTTAATCATCTATAAAAGCAGATTACATCCATGTTGACGCTAGAGAACTATAAACAACTTAATCTAATGAATCCACGCTTTAAGCAGATTACGAAGGGTTTAGTTATTTTGACAATGATCAATTAGGGAAGCGTTGACGCTGAGTGATGCGAAAAAACCGAAAAAAGATGTAATACTCAGAAAGCTTCCTTCTAAGCCATTCAGTTTCATAAACATAAATATAAGCGAATATACCTCCAAGGCCATGGGCTGCAGCCTTCTTTGCAGCGTACATATTCGCCTCTTCTTGTGCCTTAGCGATGTTTTTCTTATAGCGAATTCTCTTATTACCGAACCAGTTTGACACCTAGAATGCCAAGGTTACAACATGCTCAGAATAATTCATTCCGCCATAAATTTAACACTTTACCGAATGGCTCCATAAATCAGCTACATTCCGAAACAATATCGATCACTGCACTCGAGAAAATAATAAACGAAAAGAAAAAATGCACATCAGGAACACCACCGACCTGAGACACTGTAATGTTACACTGCCGAGCGAGTTCCTCTTTGGCCTCCTCCGACGGGTACGGATTGCTCAAATGCGAATAGAAATATTCATTCAAAACTTCCGTAGCTTGTTTAGAGAAATTACGACGTTTACGCCTGAAACAAAAATCGTCGATAATCGTTGATTTCATAGCAACTTTATCAAAATTCGATTACTGAACAGTTCGACAAAATGTCTCAAAGTAACCAAAATTCCACACCTGGCATCCAAGAAGCGACTTCTCAAAATCATAACTGCCTCACAAGTGGACTGCTTAAGCTGGACTTGAATTCCGCTGAATTTCTTCTGGATTATTGACACCATTCGCTCGATTTCCTGAAGCGATAAATGGACTTCAAAGGTGCGAAATCTTATAAGAGCACGAATGAAACAAAACTAAGGAAGCCATAGCACCCAAAGATTGGAACAAAGCTAGAGAATAAACCAACCTTTTGACTGATCGGCCGAACTCGAGACTGATCTTTCAGGAGAGACATTACATGTTGGGTAAACTCTGAGCATGCCTGAATAATTGAACATAAATTCTACCCAATGGACGGTCAACGACCGAACAATGCTTTTTCACAAGTGCTCTTACCTCTTCGTATTTCTGTAGCTCCTGATTATATACAAGACGAATCTGGCCAAGCTTTTGACGATAATCAGCCTGATCTCCACCGGAGGCATCGCCCGAAAGTGGAGCTCCCTTGTCTGGTCCTGCCACTCCTTCAGCCACCTTCAATGACATATCTCAGCCATTCTATGACTTGATTTTTGCAGAAAAGTAATTTTATTCAACGAACACACCAGCATGTTATCCAACCGCATCAATTGCGGATCCTCCGGTTGGTCATCAGTGCCGGCTCGTATTTGCAGAGCTGAAGTAGTTGACATTTCTATACAAAAACATGAACTTTGCTGACACTGAAAACAATAGCAGCGAAGTTTTCACTGACCAGTTTTTTCCTTAACTTCACATAGCACATCGAACAAGGCTTGCCGCATTGGATGGCATTGCAGGGCATGTTTTCTGAAATGAAAAAGAGCAAACTAGGGAATGCCTCGTTGCACTAGATGGCAAATCGAAACTCGCTAAGGTTGAGTGTATACATTCACCAAATGCCAACAATTTTGGTAGGTTTGCCATTCATCGCGAAGGATATCAACGAAAATTAAGGTTTCGGGAGTGCATAAATCTGAACCCCCTCATTTTGGACAAAAATTCGCGACCAAAGTAAAATTAGTTCTAGAAACTCCATTACAATATATTACAAGACTTTCGCCTTTTTTCAAGCAAGGCGTTCCAGAAAACAATGATCTAAAAGTAGTCACGCTTAGCAGAAAGTAAGTCCAATCATTTGGGAAGAACGTGACCAGAATAAAGGAGTGGAAAAAGTTGAAGAAACCTACTTCACGTTATCATTATCCTCAAGAGTTTGTTCGGAAATTTTCATGAGTTCTTGAAGCAGATCATTCAATGAACCCGGGCTCGGATCCATCGTGCCCACCATTCCTATAAAGATCTGGTAAACTCACTTCATATGAAGTTAAACTGTTTGGAGTACGAAAAACAGAACAAAAGGTCCGAAAATCAGCAGATTAGCAAAAAAGCAATTGCATTCGTAAATACAGGAAAAGAGAAGAAGTCATGAAAGCCTGAAAATGAATTTATTGGACGACGATTACAGCGAAGAGGGGAAAGAAGAAAACATTGAGGTAAAAGGATTTTTGCGATCCCACCATTTTTATCAGCGTAGAAATGGGCAAAACTTTCAGATTCACATCTATTCCGGAACCTCATTTGTTCAGTAGTTCAAGTGAAACTGTAGCCAGCGTCAACTTTTATGATTATAATGCACATATAACATCATAGTACACTACATCCATTATTACACATACAGTTTTTTACTGGGAATGGCCTTCACACATTTCAAAGAACTGTTAAATCTTAATTTCGACAAAATTCAACACATTACTGACCGTAAAATGTAATGGAAACGTATTGTTAAATATTAAGTGACAACTACATCCATATCAATGAAATGAGTGTTCCCATGTCAAACATTTCGAGTTCTACCAAAGCTCAACTTCTCCAGATATTGATTAGGAACCTAACAAACCCATCACAATCGCATGATGTGGAACTTGCTTGACGGCGTTTTGAACAACAGCTCAAAATGGTTCATTCCTACCTGGTGCCATAAAACAAAAAACACTTAGAACATCCCCAATTCAACTACAATATGCAGCTATAACGTCTGCCAGTGTGTTTTGAAAAATCACCACAATCGTATTTCAAGATGAAAGTTATCAAACGGAACTCCATGGAAGGAGTGCATTCGCTACGCGAGCTTCAACGAAAAACAGCATTCTAGCAGTGACATGATCCCATATGTCACAACAAATTCAGGAACACTTCAATAGACACTCGTCAAACGATTGGCTTAAGAGTGACATGCGCCAGCTATCCATCAGTCATTTGTAAAGAAATTAGCATTTCTAGCAATATGCGATTTCTTTCCCCAAGTAAAAAACGGAATCGGATTAGAAAGCTCTTTTCTCTCGTCTACTACCTGCAGAATTTTCCAAATTTAGAATAAGAAGAGTCTAATCAGCTCAAGATTGCGAAGTAGATTGTAAGTACTATTTGATTCGCATCAGAAGCTTCATGAGATGAAAGCAACATTTACTTACTCATTAGCAGAGTACGGAATTACACCTGTGAAAAGTAACCATTCCTGAGAAGTAGACATATTTTTGAAAACCCAGAATTTTGAAATAGCCCTTGGAAATTTAGACAGGTAGAGAAGAAGAACCACATGTTGGCGACCACAAAATGTTTTCAGAACTTTACAACGAGGATCACAAAGTTATTCGCAAATTCGGGGTTTTTGTTGGAGCAAGAAATCTCACATCTCTTTTCTTCTAAACATTCTCATTTCTTTCCATCTCAAAACACTTTTTCTTGGTTGTCTCTGCCCTGGATTTCTATGACATTAGATTAGGACTAAAAGAGTTAAGGAAAAGAAGAGCCCAATTGAAACAGGATGGCAGAGAGGAAACTGGAAAATGAAGCAGAGGGACGTTGGAACAAAAAGAATCAGAGAAAGAACAGGCTTATGAGAAAATGGATCAGAGAACGAGGGAGAGGAAGAGCGTGATAAACCATGGGTTGACAAAAAAAAAGCAGAAAATTCCTAGCTGGGATCCACTAGTCAAGGTATACCAGATTAACTTTTTTGAACTATAATGCAAGATAAGCCATCAAATGCAAATCTTTGACCACTTCACTGAGCGTTTCTTCAGCAAAGTTTAGGGATAATCATTTCTCTAGCCTCAAAAGAAGGAAATAAATAAATCTTTCCTGTACCACAGTTCTAGGGCACACGAATAAAAGCACAAATAAGGGAATAAATAAATTTTCCTCGTATTACAAATACCCGATACTACAACCACAAACTTTCCTGGTAAACTTTGATGAAAAGAAACCTTCCAAACATTCGATAAGAAAGCTTCTCAATCGAAAGGTGTTCTGTTGAGAAAGTTTCAAGCAAAGCCTGACAATGAAATAAGTCAAAGGTTTGTTCGCGATGGCATTAAAGTTACGAAATTGACGCCAATAAAACTTATCGGTGTCGTTAAACGGATGTTAAACTGCCTAAAATACTGGCCACAATAGTTTATGGAAGTTCATAAAACTGCATTAAAATAATGAGCATTAGAAATGCCATAAATATAAAGCGTTGAACAGACTGAACGAGTTCGCTTATTAGTAAACCGCATATTTTCACCGAAAGCAGTAAAATACTTGAAACACAGGTCATAAACAAATAAATCAACATCAAAACCAATCGATACCAATAATAGTAGTTGAATTGCGGTTATAGGTCGCGCGGATAATGGCGGATAGCCACATCTGCGCGCTCTGCTAAGGTCATCGATTAACGGCCGCAACGCAACTGACTCGCGGCGCGGTACCAACCGGCTGGCAATAACGCGACGATGGTTGCGACGGTGTAGCCGACAGAAAACGGTACTGCTCAAAGCCTTACTGGGCAAAGTTACTGTATGTTAGAAACAGTATAGGAGACATCAAGGAAGCCATAGATGACACTGTTACGTTGTGTTGGAGCTATCCACAGGGTGTCGCCCGCGTGCGCTCGTGCGTATCTATGCCGATCATCAATCTTCTCGCAGTGACAGGCTGGGGATGGGGGGACGGAGGCGGTGGAGAGTGCAGAACGGCCGAAACACTGAAAGAACCTCGCGAGTTACGCTAAAGACCCGTCTTCTGTAGGAGAACAAGTTGTTAGGTTGTTGGTTGCTCCGAACCGTTTTTCTTCCCTATAGCTATCACTATGTGGTCGGCTAATGATACTTAATGACATTTAATGTGATGTAAAAGTTATGTAATTGTCGAACCGTGACATATGGGAACCAGTTGATGTTCTGCTAGTTGGCGTTTCTATTCTACTAGTCCTGACTACTGTAGTGACAAAAGCAAAGGGTACTGAAGAGAGATCGGTCTCAGAATGGAAACGCCAACTTGAACATCAACTGGTCTGATGACCAGAAATCCCTAACAGAGAAGAAAATCCTCTACACTATATCTTTCTACTCCTTCCCCTTCCAATCTATCGAATACTTCTCTACTTTTCCCACCGTCTAGATCAGTGAGGACTCATTGTAGATATCTTGGCACAGACCAATCGAGCTTCGGGATGCGCCATGTATGTAGCTGTATGTAACCCCGTTAGCGTTGGAAATGACATTTGGATGCGTCGTTGATAAGACATGGACTTTCCATGGTCAGCAGTTGTGTAAAATGAGCGATTTTATCCTTCCAGGTGAATCTACCGCTGAACCGAGTCCGAAGCGATGGATGGACGGCTAGAACTGGGCATGTGCTTGTTTGGAACCTGATTTGATAGCCATGCGGGTTGTACTGAGCACCACCCTACCCGGTCCAGAAAACGTACCAAAGTGACGCTTACAATAGTGGGAATGGAGTTTCATTTTCCCCCTTCATTTCGAAAGTCATGTTGGCGTTGGTGTAGTGCAGGAAGTCGCTAATGCGGTTCGGACAGTTGCCTGCTCAAATCCTTCTAAGGCAAAGTAGACCCCTTCATCCCTACAAGGTGAGACGGAACTTGAACTGTTTAGCGGAATGAGATCATTGACTGAGAGACCATGGGATCATGACCTCATGGGCTGGAATTAGTTCGAAAGTTTTTTCAGCCTCTAAGAAGTGCCGATCACACAGATCATCTCAGGAAGATTGATAGGACAGAGAGCACACAACTACTTTGTAATAGTGCCAATATTTCAATCACTTCCGGAAGCCAGGGTATTAAAAAGACTTGCTAAAGAACGAGCAATTACAACCTGGTATTTGCGAGTCCAAGAAATGATTTCGGAGCTATCGGTTCAGTTCATAGATGGTGGAAATCAGTCAGTCAACCACCGAAACGATTCCACTGAATGAGAAATTTGACAAAAAAAGAGTTCGCAAAACCAGGAATGTTCGCAGAGTGCGAACACAAATCTAGTTGATGAACGGAATTGACGCAAATGTTCACTTTTTTTCGGTTCGGCAAGTATCTACAGAAAAACGGATTCAAGAGCGATTTTTCCGGCAGTTAACATTCCTTTTCTTTTTGAGAAGCTCTGTGTACCATTCAAGAATGAAACTCTGACACCTGTCTCTGAACTTACAATTAGGGGCGGAGATGGGTTAGAGGTAGGTGGCCCAGCTACATATAGCACATATGGTCTGCCTGTTGTATCATGACTGGGCAGAACGATCGAAGCAAACCCTCCATCTTCTCGTAGTTACTAAACAATAGCTTTCTTGGAAGGGCAACAATAGGAAGCTATCGAACATCGGGCGGGTCAAGTACGCATTCAAATGTCACTAGGAATCTGGACAGCTGTTGATTGAGTGGCGCAATAAACAATGGGCTAACAGCTTTACTTTGAAGTGTGAATGTTTAGGTTGCTTAGAAACGGTGTAGTAGCTGCTAACGGACACCTGATAACCTTCACAGGCATTTTATTCAAGAAATTAGCCAGGCTGCAGTGAAACCTGAACTACAGGAATACCTGATCATTGAAGCAGGTGCTTACCTATGTTAGCCGACTTTTGTTAATAACAGCAAAATAACAACATTATAAGAAGAAAAAGAAAAGAAGAAGAGAAGAATAATTTAATAAGAGTCACGAGCTGTTATCAAAACTTCGGCCTCGGACGAGACTTGAACTTACACTCCGCGAGGGCAAGCAGATTCGTGGTAGTGCAAGGGATAAAGAGCAGGTGCCCGGAAAGCACAACTACGGGCTCGAACCTCCGAGGCACTGTGCTTTTTATCCCTTGCACAGTAGAAGGACGAAGTTCTGCCAACAGCTCGCCATCTTGCTGAAAATCACATAACACATAAGAGGGCAAAATAATAGCTAATAATAATAATAATAGTTAATAATAATAGTAGTTAATAATAATAGTAATAATAAT